TTTATTGAAACCTCATGGCTTCTCCAGCTTCTGTTATCATTCCTTGTGTAGACATTATATTCCCTCTTTGTCCATCCGCCAAGATGCTCACACTTTACTATAAACTTCTTAGCAGCAGGGATGTTGCTTATTTTTTTTATTATTATTATCCTCTGCAGTACTTTGAACAATATACTTGACGGGTTGAATTGAATTTCCAAAAGAAAAAAATAGTTTGATCTGTGCAGTCTCAAAATCATTTTTGGTCAAATTGGATTCTTTTCATCTATCTTAATATCTAATTTGTGCATAGTTGAATCAGTCTTGCAGTTAATCTGATGCAGTAGTTAAGAGTACCAAAGATAGTATATTCATTTTTCTGATCTGGTGATTTTTAATCATATAGTCACAACCGCTCGCACAGAAAAATAAAACAGTAAATTAAATAGCAGGATGACGAATGGAATTATCCTTAGCCCCAAAGGCTATTACAGATAATCTATAGTTTCTGCCAAATTCATTCATTCAGCTTTGATCCAACACTCTTCTGTTAGGTAACATTAATAGCAAACAGTTACTACTTCCTAAAGGTGACTGGTCCTGTAGGACCTCTCTTGTGTCCTGGCTATGCTGGTTACTACTTTGTGACCTTATGCCAATTACTTCACTTGTCAAAAAAGACAACATAACCATTAGTTATATGTTTCTTATTTAAATGTACTGCCTCTTGGAATTCTCCCAAGAACCCCTTTGAGCTCCCAAGAGCTCTTATATGAGAAACGTAAATTAGCCACTCCTTCCTTGTTTTTTCCTTCTTTACAAGTTTGCAGTGTGCCGGGTGCTGGATGTTGAAAACCATACAAAAACGATCATGCCAGAATCAGTCTTGACCCTGCCCTCTAAGACTTTATAAAATAAAAAGGGTTGAATCTCAAATAATTAGCAATAATTAAAAGAAGAACAAAGTATTTCCCATACTGGTATGAATGTGGAACACAGCACAGAGGATCCAATGGATGACGTTATATAAAAGGTAGAGTTTTCATTGAAACTGGAAGGATCAAAAGGATTTCCAGAATCATAGCAGAAGTAAAAGGCAATCCAGATGAGGGACCTCCCAAAGCAAAGAATGGAAGCATAAAAACTTGGGGTGCAACACTCTCCAGAGAATATTTCTCAACCTGCCAGTCATAAGAATTATTTGTGTGACCTGACTAGAATTACTCTTATATAGAATATGTCAGCTAGGAAATATTAGGGTAAATTGCACATAAACAAATGAAGAGTTATTTTGAAAAACTTTTTTTTCCTATATTATGCATGGGTATTGGGTTACGGTATAAAATGTATTTCTTACTGTGAACTGTGGTCTGAGAAGTTGGGGAGAAACCCAGCAAGAGCAATTGAACCTTTAGTCATGTAGAGAGAGATGGAGTTGTGGGGTTGTGGCTCGTAATCAAGGAAAATAGCAAGCAGGATTGGAATAATGTGTTGGTGTTTGAGGTGACGGAAGGGAGACAGATCAGGAGAAGCTGCAACAGCCTGTAATAGCTCATCCCAACTTAACATCAAGTAAGCCTGTTCTACAAGGTATTAGAAGGTGTAAACAAGGAAAACGTTTTCTCGTGAGCAAGTACAATCATTTAACATGTGGATAGAAGTGAATTTACTGGAAAGCTCATGAAGCTAACGTTTCAGGACTCCTGGTTTTCAGTGTTCCATTCCAAAGACCTGTTCTGAGTTTTGTATCTACAGTGTTGGTGTCATTTTTCCCTAAGAAGTACCTTCAAATTGTATAGACTTTGATATCCACAAAACCTGAATCTGCTCCAGCTGTATTTAATTTTAATTTAACTTATACAAAATAAGGCTTCTCCAAGTTTGAGAGACAGGTACACATTTTAAATTCCACTGAGATAACAATTTTATACCTCCTTTTCTGTCCTCAAATTCCCATCCGTCTTCATTAACCCTTCCTTTCAGTGGTCTTCACTCCTCATATTTCACGGGCAAAATGGGCGCCATTCAAAGGAAATTCTTCTTCATACAAATAAATCTATCACATTGCTACCAAAATTTACATGACAGCCCTTGGATTTTTTAGAAAATGGCGACTTTTGTTTTTGCTAATTGACCTCATCTTTTCCTAGCATGCTTATGTCAGGGGAGGAAACGAAAGCAAGGTTATTAAAAATAACTTGGTTTCTTTCCATTCAAAGAAACTGAAAAAAATCAGATACACAAGCTTAAATATCTCATGGTATCTCTTATATGAGAAACCTAAATTATAAATAAAGAGTAAAATAAAAATAGATAATAGGAAGTAGGGAGATCGAACTTTCTCACATGGGAAAGAGATCAAGAGATGAAGGGGGAGAAAGTAGACATTAAGATGTGTTACATACATGCACCAATTCCACACAAGGAATGTAAACATTATGTGTACTAATAACAGAAAAATAAAACTAAAACGAAGATGCTGTCAGTGCACTATTCTCTGTGGAGTAAGCACTCTGCTTTCCCAGGTGTCTTCATCTCCCTGCGGTCTCCTCCATCTCCTTGGGCCCCAGTGGAAGCTGGTGGGCATTGACAGCAGTGGGGGAGAGGTGTCCAGTCCACTTGCTGTCCTTTGACCTTTGGATCCCTGGTAGAAATTGACTCGGGGTAGCGGGCTCCTGGCTGCCCTGTGACTTCCTCAGACAATGCTCTGTCTCTCACTGTGTCACTTCTCTGCCCTGCCTCGGGCTATTCTGTGCCTCTGTTCTCTTAGCACATTCTGCAAGCAGCTGCTTTCGCCCATCCTTCGGGGTTGGGTTGTGGTGGCAAGGCTCCTGGAGGCAGTTTTCAAGCAACTCCTTCAGCTTTCACTTCTCTCCCACCCTCTATGCCTTGTGCTGCCAAGCAAAATGTCATGCTAATTTGAAAGGATTTCAGCCACCCCCAGGCTTTTCCCCAGGAAAGTAAGGACCATCCATCTAGATTCTGTTTCTTATAAATCTTTCTAAAACAGTCCAATAAAACATACTCTCAGGTTAGAATTTAAGAGGATTTTAAACCTCCTCTCTTTTCTGGTCTCTCCTTCCCTTTATACTCACTTGCCTGACCGAGGTAACCTTCCTTCTCCTTTACTTTGCTCTCTTCCTCTATTCGTTGTGTTTTGTCCAAGTGCAGTATCCTCCATTTCTTCCCTGGAGGAATATTTGTGATTTTGTTGTATAGTAGAAGGTCAGCAAGGAAGAAAAACCCAAATGGTAGACGATAAAAATGACATCAATATATGGTTTTTAAATGTTCAACTTACTACACTACAAATAACTGCCCATCCATAATATCTTTCTCTTCTCATTACCTTTGAGACCAGTGACATTAAAGGCCAATCTTCCACTTTCCCTGTGTTAAGAGTCCCTATTACCATTAAGGATTTCTCCCTCTCCCTCTGCCTTATCAGTCTCTTCTTCTGAGAGTACTCCTCTCACATAGGGATTTCACTATCACCCACATTAAAGTGACTCGTACTTGACCCCAAAGCTATGGCACCATCTCTTCTGTCATTTAGAGTAGACCCGCGAAAGAAGTGTCTCGCACTCCACTCTTTTTACTGTTATCTCTTTAGCTATTTAATCCACATTTGGTTTTTGTTGTTTGTTTGTTTGTTTACAGTTTTGAAAGTGCCATAAGACTTTTCCTTTTCTTTCTTCTTTTTCCCCAGAGTCTTGCTATATAGTTCAAGTGAGCCTTGGACTCATGGTATTCCTCCTGCCTCAGCCCCCAGGGCTAGTATTATAGGCACACACCACCACACCTACTCAGAATCTGTGTTTTGGGGAGGACCCTCTTGCCTTGTGTAGGCCACTCCCTCTCTGTCTCCCCACATTGCCTTTAGTCAGCTCCTGCACCAGGGAGGGGTTGGGGAGAATCTTTCTCTTCTAATAAAGATACCAATTCTAACACATTAGTATCCCACTCATGTAGTTTCATTAACCTTAAGTACCTCCTTGAAAGTTCCATCTCCAAATGCAGTCATATTGGGGAATAGAGCTTTTTTTGTTGTTTTGTTTTGAGACAGGGTCTCACTATGCAGCTGAGACTGACCTCGAACTCACTGTGTAGTCCAGGCCGGTCTCAAACTCACAGCGATCCTCCAGCCTCAGCCTCCCTAGTGCTGGGATTACAGGCGTGCACCACCACGCCCGATGGGAATAGAGCTTTGACATATGGTTGGGAGAAGGTAGATGACAATCCTGGCTGTAGAACTTCCTTACTGCTAAAGGCAATGGACATTTAATTCTCATATTTATCCAGTAGACAGTACTGAATGTAACCATTTATACCTGCTTTTTGAAACGTTCTTCTCTCTTGTTTCTGTGGCACTACCTTTTGTTTCTTTGTTTCATTTTTCTCTTTCTCTACCAACTCTCCTCTGAAGGGCTTTTGTAGGGAATGTCTCTTCTTATTGTCATCTGATCTTTGAGTTGCTGAAGTAAGCCCTGGATGCTTTCCCTCTCTTTACCCTTTATCTATGCTCATGACTCTCAAATTCACATTTGCAGCCTTAGTTCCCTATCATACCCATGTGCCCAGTTAGCATCATCTTTGGATATGTTAATTCCAAAAATTCCACATATATGTTAATTTGGAAATACTTGAAAAATAATGACTTGTTCTTCTGAAAACACTGTCCTGACACCATTTTCCTTCACATCTTAGAGAAGGGCAAATTCAGTAACTCAGACTAGAAATCTAAAAGTCCTCTGTGATTTCTACCATTCCTGTACTTTCCACAATATAGCTAAATGGATGCATACTGAGGCCATACTCTTAAATGAAATAAATAGGACACATGAGCATAAATACCAAATAGTTTCTCTGGTGTGAGAACCCAAAAGTGTAATTAAGGGTCAAAATGTATATATACATATATAAATGTATAATAGGTGATGTGAAATAGGAAGAAAAAGTCTAAGAAAAACTCAATCAAAAAAAGTGCAACTCTCCAAATAACTTTTTATTTCTACTACCAGCCCCTTTGATCATACCACTGTCTCATCACATCGTCTTCCCCTGACTTTGTGCAGTCTCCTTCTAACTGGATTCCCTGTATCTTTCCCAATCAATATGCCATCTAATTCAAGGGATGTTGGCCTAAAACGTAAGTACCTTTTATTTTTCTTCCATTTCCCCTTGCTCCCTGACTCTTTCTCGAAAATTTAGCCCAAAACCATAGATTTGTGCTAACCCGCCTAGAGATTAGTGTGGGGGACTGAATATAATGACCCAGAACTTGGGAGATCAGATCCAAACAGGCTGGGGCAGGCATCCATGCAGAGATATGGCTTGGTGCATATTGCCTAAGCCTGGCTAGGTGAGAAGGCTCAAGCAGGAGCTGGTGAAGATGGTGATGATCCACCATGGCTGTGGGAGCCCAAGGAGACGGAGGAGGATGCTGGGAGATGATGGGTTAGCAGCACAGATGGAAGATGGATTCTGTGTAAAGATACTAACTAAATAAGGAAATGCGTTAAAGGTGATGAAAGTCAGGTTTCTTACTGAGGACGAAAGTAGGGTGTACAAATATGTGAAATGTGGGCCAGTATGCTTTACCTTGTGGTGTTGTTGGGGAATTGGGAATAGCAATGTAGATTCATGGATTTCTAGTATATACGGATAGACATGAAAATAAACACTGATATAAATACGTGTAAATATACATTTATAATGCATTGCCACCTTGCCTGTCTACTGAGAGAGCATGGAGCAGTGACATACAATAAGAACAACAAGAACAGATCTTGACTTCTCCACTACAGGAAACCAGGAATCCTTTGTGAAATTGATAATCTCCAACTTCCTGGGTTTTTTACTATTCCTTGAGCTTCACTTTCACAGCTTCAAGCATCACCCTTTGAGGGATTCCTCACAAGGACGTGACTGTGTCACCCATTTTTGTTTGGTCTCCCAGGCCTTCTACTGAAATCTAGTTGGAAGCTTCCATGACCCCATGAGTCTTGCATCTTCCATGCCTAAACACCACCACTACTTGGATGATACCGAGGTCTGCTTCTAGCTTGAGCAGTAAAGTGGTCCCCTTGAACCATGGCTAACGTGGTCTTGAGTGCCTGAACAGCTGAACCCTACTTCTCTAGGTGTCCCCGAATGAATAATTTATCCCTGGGCATCCTTTCAAAGGCATTTACCTTTTTACAGTACACCTTTGAGGTTGCAACTGGTGTGGTCTGACCATTTCCTGATAGCCCTTGTGATATCTTTTCTATTGTCTGAAAGGAAAGTCCTTGGCTTCTTTTTAATGATAATCTTTTCATCAGCTCTTTGGCTTAAATGATATAGGCACTTCCTTTCTGCACATTTGCAACATTATCTTTTGGCTCTGCTTTTTGCTCCTGATTCTTACAGTAGTTCTGGCTGAAAGCAATCATTAGTACCTTTTACATACTGCAACAGACTGTTATTGGGCTGCTTTGAAATTACCCCCACCAGATCAATTAATCTGTCACCTTTAAATTCAGCCTCACAGAAAAGTCTTAAAACATAGGCAAATGTAGACAAACTGTTTGCCAGAATGAAACATGGATAGCTTCTAGTCAAGTTTCCAATACAATGCTTGTGCCTATTTGAAACCTCATGAGTTTGGCCTTTATTGTCTGCATTCCTATCAGCATTCTGGTCTTCTGAGCTCCATCTGGAATCTTCCATCAAACTATATGGATCAAGCTAGTTTACAATATTCTAAGGCTTTTCTATGCCACATCTCCAAACCTTTTCAAACTCCTCTCATAAACCAGTTACAATTGCTTTTAAACCACATGATCAGTTACAGTCATAACAGTAATGCAACTCTTGGTACCAACATTCTGCATTAGTCACTTTCCAGTCACTACGACAAAATATCTGACAGTTACAATTTAAAAAAGAAGAAGTTTATTTTGGTTCATGATTTCAGAGCATTTAGTCCATAGTTGCTTGGCTCCAAGGCAGGAATAGCATTCAAGAAGGGCATGTGGAGGAGAGCTGCTCATACATGGCAACCAGAAAGCAGAGTGAGAAGGTTGGTGCCAGAGACAGGAAGGAATATACCCTTCCTTCCGGGTCATGTTCCCAATGACCTGCCTATTCCAACCAAGTTTCACCTGCAAATACATGAGGCTTTCGGGGGACATTTTAGACCTAAACCATAACACGGTGTAAGCCAAAACTTTGTTAGCAACCTTGCATGACACAGACAGAAGACACAGCTAAGCCACACCTGGATTGTGACCCACAGAAACTCTGAGATCATCAATGTGTTAAGCTAAACTTGGGATAATTTGTTACACAGCAATAGGTAACTGCATAGGATATCATATTGTAACTTGCTCTCAGAATGTTCTGAGGGAAATGCTGTACTTGAAGTTTGAGGGGTTTTTTAAAGGTGTGTGTGTGTGTGTGTGTGTGTGTGTGTGTGTGTGTGTGTTGTGGATTATTCCCCTCTCCACATAAATTAATTTAGTGGCTTTCCAACATACTTAGACTAAAACCTAAACTCCTTAGCACACCCTAAAAGTTTTGCTTTTGATCATTTCCCAGCCCTCCTTGGCCCTCTCACCATTCCTAACTACTAAATTAGTTTGAATAAATCCTGTTCCTTACCATCTTTCTCTCCAGCTTGGTGCTCTTTCCCCGTGCCTCGCATGACCTCTCATTCTCATTTTTTGAATCTCATATTAAATGTCAAGTACAGAAGTACTCTAATCCTTATTTATAGTCTCTTTCTAAGCCACTCATTTTTTTCCTTTACATCTTAGCAGATTTTTTATTGCTTTAGTTGTATCCTTGTTTTTAATCACTCAATCTCTGATAAAAGATAAAGCCCAGGAGAATCACCCTTCTCCTCTACATCGATCCTTAGGACCCAACATACAGTAAATACTCTTTAAATATTTGTTGAATAAATTGATAAATATAATACTTCAATCACCTGAGTGGAATTAAAATGAAAACAGTCTGATTTTTCGCAGTTCCAAAAAGCAAGTTTACAGTTATACAGAGAGAATTTAATTTTAGTAATATAAGCAATTAGGCTTCATCATAATAATTATTTATCTTCTCAATCAAAACTGACTATGCACATTGAAATGACTAAAAAGGTCATTGCATATTTTCCCTGTATTACTTTCTTTTTTTGTCTTGTTTATCATAATTTCTATGCGGCCTGCAAAGTTATTTTTGTTTTTATTCTTTTCCATTTTTCCAGGCCTTATGTTGCAGACATCCCAATGCAGTTTTGTTCTGTATAGTAAAATTCCACATGCAGATAACAGCATCATCTTTCCAGAATCCCAGGAGCAGCCTCCGTGTGGACTCTGGGTGATGATGCAGGGTTTTCAGGAGGCTGTGATGGTGAGGCTCAGGTCCTCCTCTGACAGCTACATGCCTCCCTCCGCCTCCAGCAGTTCTGCATCATCAAGAAGAGAGAATGCAGAAGAGAGAGAAAAAGAGCCCCAAACCTCGCAGCTTGTTTCTGTCAGAACTCATCAGTTCCAGGCCATGTTTCTGTAGCCTGCATGTCATGGAGCGAGCACGAGCTGTCAATAGGGAGAACAGAGAAGCTCCTTTGACAGATCCCATGTCTGCATCCCAGACCCATTACAGCAGGGGAACTCGTTGTTCCCCTTGGATGAACTGCCTCTCCCTCTGTGGGGTCCCCCAGCTGCAGTGTCAAGCCCTGGAAGGGGCCATGTCTCTGCTTGTCATGTACATTTTCAGGAGAGAGCTGCTGTATTCACACCAGAGGTTCTGGGTGAAAAGGGACTGGAGGGCGGAAACCCAGGCCATCTTCCAGAGGTGCCGCCCGCCATTTTCTGTTTTAACCACACAAGTGTGTTCAGTGCAAACCTCAGTTCACAAGAGAATGAGCTCAGAATTAACTCCTTTTCAGTGAGAACCTCACAGTTTTGAAAGTAGTGTTCAAGAAATGAGACAAAACGTTTTAATGAAAATGATAAACTATGTAATTTCTCATTCCCTTGAAATTTTAGCTTCTGGATATGAGAGAATTGAGGAGGAAAAAAAGTTCACTCTTTCATTGGCTACAGCCCCTCGGAAAAAGAAAGGAAGTTGTGTCTGACAGCACAGCATAGTTTAAAGACACTGATACATCCTCTCCTAACTTTACATTAATAATCTCAGGAAATTGACAAAACAATGTGCATTTGTTACACTGGGTAGAGCTAGTTCCTAAACTCAAGCTATTGCCCAAATCTAAGAGGAATTGCCAAGAAATACGGAAATGGTGGAAATGAATTGAGAAGCACATTTTGCGACTCATTCTTCACCTCTAGTGAATTTGGCAGCCCTTCTACCACTGCACTGGTTGTCACTGTCCTGAGGAAAGGCCCGAGCCAGACTGCAAGGTGCCAAGAGTGAGGAGGGATATTGTTGACTAATGGTGAACAGAGGAGAGTAGGAATGAATGATGCCACAGAAAGCCCTGACAGCATTTCCTGCTGGGAGTGGCAGTGCCGTATACAAACCAGAGGCTCCAAAGTGCCATCATCCCGAATTCCCACAGTAGAAACACATAGAGCTGGAGTTTAAAGTCACGTGACTGAATGAGGGTGGATTTAGTTTTGGAGTTGGCTTAAAATTCCTCCCTTCAAGGATAAAATCATCTCTTTATTCAGCCAATATTGAGTGGCAACTATATGCCAGACATTATTCCCAGGAATGGGTAAACAATTTGCCTTCGAGAAGCTTACTTTCAAATGCAAATCAAAAGCAGAAGTTGCTATCTAAGGCTAAATTCTATGAAGAAACTTAAATCTGGATTAGGACGTGGGGATGGAGCACAGAAAGGCCGGAGAAAGTGACAAGTGAAGACTCATAGGAAATGAGGAGGAGGCCCAGGTAAAAGCTGGGGAGAGCCTGGAAGAGACGGAAAAAGTCAAAACTGGAGGCAGAAGTGAACGCAGAGCCTGAGTGTGTGGAGGAGAGGGAGAGAAGGCAGAAGGGGGAAGACAGGTTGCCAGGGGAGGGGACAGGTGGGACTGTATTTTCCCTGTGAATCAGAGGATTTTGCATGATCAGATTTACAGTATTTCAGGATTCGTACAGGCACTGGGTGGGAGAATTT